AAAAATCAGGGAAAGGGGTCTTATTAGGGACTAACTTTGGGGGATAGAGCCAACAAATGCGGAGAGGGTCGATGTGAATCGTAAAAATGTATGCTAAATTGTCACCAAAATGACCATTTTTGCTGTTTTTTTTCCCCTGGAGACCCCGGGGGCTGCGTAAGACGGTTCCCATGGCCAACACACGTTACTTTGGTCCTTTCCCTACAGTTTGGCGGTGAGAGAAAAAAAAAGTACGTTGAAGAACACAGAAACCCCAAGATTTGGGCATTTCTCTGCAAACGGTGTCTTTTACCCAATATCGACCCCTAAACTTCACCTGGTCGTAAAACCGATAGCTGATTCGGATTCCCCAGCTCATTTTACTTCGGAAACCACTTTGCCTTTGGCCAGAACTTGCCAGGGGCGAGATTTAATGAGATTTTTCGTTTTTACACGAAAACAAGCAAAAAGTGTTAGGCGAAACTTCCAACTCTTGCCGTTTCACGTAGGGATGTCCGATCGGGTTCAAAATTGGATATGTTGTCTAGGGGTATAATACGAACCTCAGAAAAAAAATTCAGATTTTTTGCGAAGGGTCGATGTTGCCCCTCGTTTTTCTTAAAAAAAGTTCCGACCAGAAACGGATCGTGAAAGCAGATGATACCTTGTGAAGAATTATTCTATTCCAGTCTATTATATTTCCGTATTTACACTTGTGGGGAAAGGGAGGGGGTAGGTGGCGGTGCGGTGCTGTGCGGGGGCTCCAGCGGTAGAAGGGAGGGGGGCCGCTAGCGCGGCCGACTCGGCTCGGGGCTCGGGCTCCGCTCGGGGCTCGGCTCGGGGGAACTCGGCTCGCCTCAGCAGCGCTACAACGCGTGGCGTGGCTGACGCGACGGCGGCTGGCGACGGCGGCTGGCGACGTACGCCGCCTCGCCTCGCCTCACGATCCCGCCTAGCAGGCCCAGCCCAATACGTATATGAGCTTTCTTCTGGTTCTCTTTAATATTTCTTTATCGAGAGTAAAAGCAATGACACCTTACATTACTCATGTATAGTTATATGTATGTTAAGTGTAAGTAAGTTTAAGTTTGTAAGGTATCATCTGCTAAAAAGCTGCTCATAATGAGACCGATAAGCGTATCATCTAGTTAGATCCACTTTTGGACAATCACACAGTCATACCTAGCGGCGAGAGTGTAATTTTACGAGAAGTTCGTCGTCCATAACCCGATGGATCACAGACAGCAGAATTTGATTTAAATGCACTCTCCTCCTGTTACTGATTTTTTTCACCTTTTGTCAGCATTCCTGCTGCACAAAAACCTTCATAAGCTACTGACAACTGCTTTCATCAGTTATACGAAATAATTTATTTTTTAATTACTGACTTTTTTTCTTTTATCAGTGAGCTACTTACAACGAAATACAGAACAAGTAACAAATTTGTCAGTAATCCTGCTGCATAAAAACCTTTATAAGCTACTAATAAATAAATCAGAACAGGTCTGAGAGTTCGACACCCACCGTCCAACAATCACAGAGACATTCATACGTTATGGGCGTTTTACCAATATAAACACACGTAACGTAGACAGCAAACCGATGTCGAGGCTGCAGCCGGTTTAGCAGCAGCACAACATTACAACACCGTCCTAAAGTTGGCCAGGAAAATTTCCTGGCCAGGATTTTTTCCGACTTTCTCCACCAAAAAAAAAACTAAGCTGGGTATAATTCCTAAAATCACTGGAGGGGTTCCTTTTGACACCCTGTTTAAGTTTCTGTCGGATTTGGATTTTTACCCAGCAGTGGAAAGAGTCCACGTTCGAAAAATGGTTCCAAATTACCATAAATACGACAAAATCATACGTAGATCGCTTCCTGTGCTGGGTAAAAATCCTTAAATCACTGGAGGGGTTCCTTTTGACACCCTGTTTAAGATTCTGATGGATTTGGATTTTTACCCAGCAGTAGAAAGAGTCCACGTTCGAAAAATGGTTCAAAATTACCCCAAACACGACAAAATCATGCCAACCCCTCTGCCGGTTGGCGGGTTGACGAGTTGGCGGGAGTTAGGCACGAGTTGAGATAAATTTTTGAAGAGTTTTGCGCTATTTTTCGCAAATTAAACACGAGTTTTCGCAAATTTTCGCGAATTTTAGCGATTTCAAGTGATAGTTCACGCGAGTTTTTGCGAGTTAGACGCGAGTTCGACTCGAGTTGGGCGCGGGCAAGTGTACAACGGGTTGGCTAGTGGGGGGACCCTTCGGAAATACGAGTATTGGCCGATAATTTAAGGTCACAAAACATTTAAATGTTCAAATTAAGGCAATTGACATATGAAGGGCTCTGTGAGGAACCTGCTGCTGCCTGCTGACGTCATGTTTAACCATGCTAAAACTCGAAACCAAAGATCTTTGGGAATTCTCAAGACCGTTGGAGTGTAATCTTCGGAAAATCCCAAACACATTTTTGACAGTGTACCTAGCATCCCACAAACGAAAGCAAGCTTTCACCGTAAAACTTTGTTGTTCTGAAACGACTTTTGCAAATCATTTTAAAACATAGATACTTCGTTCTAATACGACTTTTCACAGTTTTGCTTTTGACTAAAAATCAAAAAACTAGATGCAAGTTCAGTCTAGAAACCGTTCATGCATCAAAGTGAATTCGAAATGCATCAACATTTAAAGAGTATTCTTTTGAAAAAACGGCCTTTTCCCCCTGAAAGCGCCTGAAGGCGTTTGGCGTTTGTACACTTTGGAAAAATGTCGTTACAAAACAGTGCAATCTTCATTTTTATACGAAGTGCTTTGTTTGAATAATTAATCAGCCATTCTTAGTTTTAAAACAACGTTTTTTTTTAGAATGTTATATCTAGCTAAATTACGCTCAAAAACGTCCATAACTTGTTACAAAAAAAGGAAAAGGCCTAGTAGGCTGTTTCAAGCGAGCGCTCGAGAGGAAGTAAGAAGAACAAAACCGGATGGAGAGAGCGGTGGTAAGGGAAGGCGAGGGGAGGAGCAGCGAGTGGAGGGGTACGTTTCCCGCACACCCGCTGCTCCTCCCCTCGCCTTCCCCCACCACCGCTCTCTCGATCCGGTTTTGTTCTTCTTACTTCCTCTCGGGCGCTCCCTTGAAATAGCTTATTTATAAGAGTGACTCTTATGAATGGTCGACCGTCGGAGTTCAAATTGCACAGTTATTACTATTAAAATACGAAGGAAATGTCTCTGTTTTACGGTTGCACACAGGTTTCCTTTTATTACAGAAATACATTCTTTGACGCTGATACCCACCTCGTTGCTGCTGTCAGATGAGGAACTGGAGCGTCGCGGAGCCGCGGAGCCGCCCAGCCTTATGATGCCCGGATTCATCCTGCACAGCAAATTCTCAAGCTCCACAGCTGTGGGTGCGCAATTGGCCCTCCAGCCGTACCTGAAACGACATGCACGCTCAGACGTATTGACGTTTCCTGTTTCTCATGTTGTGAGATACCCGAGAATATTCATTTGTAAACACCCAATTGGGAAAGCTCAATATAATGTCCACGGGAATCAAGTTACACACTGAGAAAAATGTTTGGTCATTGCGATAAAAACTTTGGTTGTCACGACCAAACAGTTTAGTCGCCATAGGTTTGACTAAACATTTTGGTTATACTAACAGAATTTTTTTAGTCACATTACTTTAGTCAGTCCGTCAAAAATTTCCTACGAAAGGAACAAAGACGTCTAGTTCTCATCTTTAATTGCACTTCTTTGATACTGCACTCTCATTTCCCTATGGATGTGCTATCCGTATGTTATGGAGAATTTTGTGCTAACATATTATGGATCACAAATTATCCATAATATGGATAAAATTGTCCGTATTACAGACAATTTGATCCATATTACAGACATGCCCTCCTCCGTA